TGAGGGGTGGCGGTCGATGGTGAAAAGGGGGGAAGTAGAGCAGTGCTATGGCTAATTGTAATACTATTACTAGAAACTATTAGTTTCTAGTTTCTAGTTTCTACTAGAAACTTTCTAGTTTCATGGTAAGTCGTTGAGTTAAGTCTAATGATAACGGGTTAATGATTATTGAGGAACGACGCTTTTAAATTAGTAATAAGTGGTACACGTATGTAAGGAAATCATGGGAAAATGACAACACCCGTGTCGAACCTGGATGCGTAAGTTTGCGAATGTTTAAACCAGGGATCGAACTCGGATCCTTTACCAATTTCATGGCGCAGCGGGAAGTTTATGCAACTTACCTGACCACTATTTCGATCATATTTATATATCTGAAACTCATCAACTAACGCAAGTCATTTTATCGATTCGTTATAACATATAACTCGCGACTTATAACTTATAAGTCGCGAATAAATTAAGAATAATGACAAGACAAGGAATTGAAATCGGGCGGTTGGCATGATGGCCCGAAACCCGACGAAACACACACCACACCAAACCACCACAAGAATTTCATTAGTATTGTAAACGTAATCCGATTCATCAGACAATAAACATTAATTGAATATGCAAATCAACTTGACTAATAATAGAAACAGGAACAGGAACTAGCATGTCAATCACTCTAATATGATAAGAGGAATAGTAGCGGTGTCGCTGTCGCTACTAAAAGTGATTACCGACACGCTACTAGTAATAGTAGCCACCGACTGGTTGGAGTTACAAGAAGAGGGGGCAGTCGTAGAGCGTCAGAGGCGTCAGAGACGTCAGAGTCGTAGTCCATAGTAGAAGAGGAAGAGGAGCAGGACGAAGAGGAAGAGGAGCAGGACGAAGAGGGAGAGTAAGAAGACCGATGAGATGAGAGTGAGCAGAGCTTCCATCATAGTGTAGTTGTCGCATCACTAGTATAGGGAAAATCTGAACGTGACAGGGTCGTGTGCATGCGTGCAAGATTCTTGTGTGCTTCCTGTCTACTAAATTTCGTTAGCGGTACAGTCTCTGTACGTCTCAACCGAATGTGTTAAGCTATTGGTTTTACGAGGGTGGCGATTTTCAATTCGACATTTAAACGGTGTATGGCCGTTGAAAGTTGTGTTCTTTGCTAAGCTGAGAATTGATGGAAATGTGACAGATTAAGGCTGTGAATGACGATAGCGTTTCCCTTGAGGAAATGAGGATTAGAATTGACACTAGAAAATTTCCATGATGACCCCCTTTAGTTATGAGAGAGCTAACGTAGTGATTTTCTGATATTCGAGGTGGTTGTTCGTGAAAAAATTTGAAACTTTTGAGTCTATTATAGCCCCTTGTCTGAGTTTCGCGTATGGGAGAAGTTTACCATCGTTTCTCCCTAATTCGGTGTTTGAAGCCCTTACTAGTATTTTCGTTAATATTTGTGATTTTTTTGTGAAATATTTTTTCCAGTTATTTTCTCGTGTTCGTAGCCATGTGTTCTTCAACTGTTTCGTCTTCCTCTTCGTCACCATCATCATCAACAACATCGAGAAATACCGCCAACACTTATTCCTCAAGTATTGACTGCAACTTAGATTGCGAGTTGTACAATACTTTCCTACACTTTGGTGGTCCCAGCGAAATGACTCTCCTCGAGCCACGTGAGGAGTGCGGGTGTCGCCCTAGAAGTCGCTCTTGTACGAGATTCCAACGTGAGCCTCGTAGATCTTCATATAGGGTTGGTTCTGATGACGAAACCACTGCTACTTGTATCTCATCTTCACAAATAGATCACAAGGAGTTCACTACTGTTATGATACATAATTTACAACCACACGTTAATGTCAACTACCTCGAGAAAGTACTGCAAGAAGCTGGTTTCGAGGGCGCCTTTGATTTCCTGTATGTCCCTTTGAATTTCAAGACTCATGAAGCTGTTGGTTTCGCCTTCATCAATTTCGCTGATGAAGTTTACGCTCAAAAAATGGTTGACGGTTTCAACGGTTTGGTTATCAATGGTCATTTACCGTTAGCTGTCGAGCCAGCCAAGAACCAGGGCCTTCAAACTCAAATCGATCATCTCAGAGAGAGCCCAGTGAACGCTGCTGATGAAGAGTTCAGACCGAAGTTATTCGAATTGGGTTCGGGTCGATCATTGGAATTCCCGGCTCCTACCAACCCTCGCCCCCCGCGTCGGTCTCATCGTCATCGACGTCGTGTGAGAGAATATGTACCGCAAAAAGCGAGGCAAGTTGAAGTCTGCGACCCGTATGCTCAGACACATTTAAAGTACAGTATGGCTCTTGGCGACCTCCTATTGTGAGATTGTTGTGGTCATCGTGTTGATTCTATATACCGTTGGTGCATATGCTGCAAAATACGATGCCTGTGAAAGTCGGCAACACCTATTCTTAGGAGAGCTCTGGCCCCATAGTATTATTTCATTTTCTTGTTGTTGCTAATGTTTGCGTTTCGCGTAGCTGTTTAGTGTTATCAAGCTGTTGCCAACCTATTCAATAGTCTTGGTTGTTGATAGTAACGGCGCTGTCGACCTTCTGTACTGCAAAAGTTCGTAAGGAGGTATTTATCGGGCTTTTTCTGTATTCAACACTCTCTTGGTTACATTATTGCATTCTTCTTACTGCTGCTGTTAATATACTCTGCAGTAGTTTGATGTTTCTTCTGTACTACACTACATGAGGCTTGTGTTTGATGATAGTCAGGTGAACATAGGTAGGGGCATTTTTATATCATCAAAGACATTCAACACGGTTAAGTGTGTATTAGTGACACGAACAGTTTGAATGCGACTATCGCTGACTTGGTGAAAATATCAACAATTCTGTAATACTAACGATCAATACAGGAAAATACGAGCTCAGGAGTTTCCTCAAACAAGAATCCCCCGGGATTTTCATATAATCGAAAAAGTGCATATTTTCCCCTCACATTGGTGACGACTAATTGAATTGCAAACATAATAATGCTCGGGATCAACACACTAAGCGCTTGTGTGCTGTGGTCGTAGAGCCCCGCAGCTGTGAAAGCGGATCCTGCCGAGGCATTGTCTCGCTCTGTGGAGAAAACTCATTGGCATGATAACAGTAAAGAGTTTAATATGCTAAAACTGATCTCTCGGGGGCTGATGTACGTCGAGGTGAGTCTAACTAAGCCGCGTTGTCTAGTAGGCGTTGGACTTGAAACTCACAAACATAATAATATTTTCGATCAGCTTGATCGATTTGCCACGATATAATGGTCACTGTATATACTATAGGGAAAAGGGTCTAATCCTAGTAGCTCCTCAGAGCGTGCGAATAGCCTATTCTGAAGCACTTGGCGTTCTTTCTGTGATGGTGATAACTTGGAATTGTGTAATCTCTATTAGTGTCTCGTTCAGAAATGCACATTAAAATACGTAGTATCAGTGAGAGAAATGAAAAAAACGAATTCTTATATTTTTTGACAAATATGAGTTCGTTTTTCCTTGAAAAAAAATTCCAATGACAGTTTAAACACTCTCATGCCGTCCCTACTCGCCGATATAAAATAAAACTAAAATACCACACATAAACGAAATTCTTCCATTTCTGCATTTCTGCGTGTCCTCAACTCAACGATATGCAACATCCTCATATCTCTGTTTTGCTGGTTACTATCTGGTAACGACAACATGATCAATTGAGTTTGATTTCTCTCCTATCGTTGTGTTGATCTTCCCAACAAGTATGTGATGGGCAATGCGCATAGCAACGGCGCTGAGGATCTTCTAGGTTAGGCCGGTTTTCCCGATCACTATGTATGAACACAAGAAATCATTTCTGTTTGGAGAACGTAGTAGATAACGTGGTGGTGGCGGTGGCTTTAGATGATATTCCATCGATCTTCTAGAGCACAGGTAAGCTTAGCACAACAGATAGCAGCACTGAGGCCGTGATTCGAGATGGCGATGGTCTCTTCAACGTAGTCACCACCGAACCGAGGCTCCTGAACATAGTTACAATACAATCACAAAGCAGTGTGGGAAAATATGCACATGGTCATCTTCATATGAAAAATTCTGCACTCCTACCCGAATTCGTAGTAAACTCCTGAGCTCAGCAGCTGAAGAATGCGATTACATATATTCCTACTCCAACACTATATAGGGAACTCCTGAGCTCAGCAGCTGAGGAAAGCGATTACATATATTCCTACTCCAACACTGTATAGGAAACTCCTGAGCTCAGTAGCTGAGGAAAGCGATTACATATATTCCTACTCCAACACTGATCACGAAGCGATAGGCCTCCTCGTATTAAATTGTACACACTATTCTCAGACGGTAATGCCCATTCACATATGGTGACACCGCCAGTGTCACCAAACTACTCACCGAGCAAGGCTCTCCATGGGCTACAGCACCGATGACCACAGTTACCGGGACTGTATCTATCAAGCAGTGACCTTTGGAATCCTTCGTATCATCATGATACTTCAACCACTGTGGACCTGGACACGACCATATGGGAATAATATATATAAAGTAAAACCACTACACGTCAGAAGCCGACCATCCACTGACAATCCGCATTTGATGCCACCAGCTGGAAGATATTTCTGTATAGGATTCGCAATAACCTTCATAAGAATCTCACTACCTGAATTAGGATGATATTTTGCGCACAGCGAAGATTTTCAGTGATGCTTATTACTGTTGGCAGCACGTATCTTGTTCTTGTTGAGGAGTTCGACGATTAAGCCGGAGAACCTTTTGAAGGTTCGAGGCATTCGCAAGGCGGGGCTGACTTCGATGAGAACCTTTTCATGATGATATAGTTCAATAGTAGTAGAATCGTATATTATTGTATGGAAAACACTAGTGGGAAAATATTTCACATTTTACTCCACCATAACGCAAATGGGGTGATTTGCTCGATACAATTCGCCAAGAATTTTCAAATCACTTCTTACCGCGAGTACCGCATTCACGTAAGACTCCATTATATAATTTTAGTAGTGGTTGTAGTGAGCACAAACTTCTATCAAGAGTACCAGATGGGTGATAGACAGAGGACAACGCCAAGATTCGAACCAGCCTCCTCTGCCTTATTAGCCAACAATTTTACCACTATACCAATTCATCGATGAAAACTAACTCTCCACCATATTACATTGTTCATAGTGTGAACATAGATAAGTAGCTTCCCCGCTTTATTCAAGGGACTATCCAACAACATCATCAAGCACTGATGGGTTATGTCCGGCCGGTATGCGGAAATGTCCTTTCCCGATTTCGCCAGGATATTCTTATGATCGTCGCTGTTCAACAACTCGTATTTGCCCTTAACTTGAACAACCTCGAGAGCTGCTTTTTCTAAGACCTACCACCATCAAGACGTGGCCAGCAAGGGGGCAGATTTTTTCAATGATTTTTTAAAACATGCTTGTCTCAACAATAGCACGGATTTTGCACCAAGAATATTATTACAGAAAACTGTACTTTTCATACCAAAACTTCAGGAAATCAGAGCTGAACAGTTGCCGAGCTACACCATTTTTTTTGGAAACAGAATTATACACGTTTGACATGGTAGATTATACGAGTCACAAGTGAAACGTTCATCAACCTTAACCAATCAAACAAATAGCTACACCGAGCTACACCATAATAGATTCCCTCCCACAGTGGGAGTCCCACTGCACTACCACAACAAGTCTTTTCCCAGTGGTTTTTTCCTCGGGCGTGCGCGGTATGAGCGCCTTGGCTTCGTCGGCAGTATGCCCGACTAGAGCGTCACTTCGGCTACTGGAACGCTCCTCTGTACGAGCTCGCTTCACGGCTGACATACCTTCCTAATGTCACACTACAAGAAGAGACCCGGTTGTGAGCTCGCAATAAGAGCATCTCTCAATTAGACATTCCAGGCGCTGAATTGGAGTGATTTCGACCATCGAGGATTAGCAATAATTTTGTGGCCAGTATCATGAATTTGTTGTGGCTGAACTGCGGATTTTTACTCCTCAAGTACGATATCGAGCGTATTTGTCACGCGCCATGAAATTAAGCGCGCGCCCGAAAGCACTGACATGCGTTCCACTGACGGTAGGCGCTATGAATGAGGGGTGCCAACGAATTTAGTATCGATTCGGCGCGGTATATAGAGAGTTAGACACTACTGGCATTGGTAGCGGGCCGAAGGTCCGTGACTCTCCTCACACAACTTCCCGTACAAGTTTTGTCGATGGTCGGACCAGTAAGCCGCAACCATAATCGTCGATCCATCTTGTCGCAATGTGAAGTCCTCCGATGATGACCAGGGCAGGAGAGCGGACTGCTGTGCTTTGTGGACACCCCCCGTGGTGACCTTGTTTGTGAGAATCCGCTTAGTATCGGCCTCCAAGGCCGGGCCTTGTCAATGTACAATGGTATGTACAGTACAGAGCCGTTCGAATAGTGACGAAAGGAAGGATTAGTTCCGTTGAAAGAGGGTATGTGAGAAATATTTTGTGAAGCTACGCGTAGAAGAAAGTGCGCAAACCCGAGAAATCTGTATTGTTTGTGATGACTCAACTCGTTCTGTATTCAACGGAGATTCACCGTTTCATCCGAGCTGGGGGAATACTCGGTGTTTAACACGTTAGAATCCCTCCCGAAGTGGGGACGAAAACACTTCGAGAATTTCACCGGGCGAATTTCACACAGGGCAAGTTTTAGACGAGGTGGAATTCGCGGGGTTGATTTATTTATGATAGCGAAAGGGGTATTGTAGATGTCATTTGTTTCAATGGTTACCGTGGAATTGAAATGAGATTGGGAACGATGGACCCCTGACAAACTTCGAGTGCTTCGAGTGGTTGATCAAATAACGTGTTCAGCGAATATGTTATTCCTTGAAATTTGCTCATGGTATTGTTTCCCGATTTTATGTCGACCGCCGCCTTGTAGCATTGAATAACTTCAATTTTGAATCAGCTAGCCTGACTGGATGGAGTTCATAATGCGCGTTTGGATTACTGTTGATGTTTGTATCATTCAGATGTGTTTGCGTTATAGTCAATTCATTGGATCGGCTAGAACCTCTTCTTTCGACGTTCCGCTGAAGGTCTATGATGGTATAGTATAGCAATACTCCATAGTGGTACATTTGTATTTCTACTATTATTTCTGGTCTAACTATCAGTGTTCCCATCGGGTCAGCATGTTTACTATCGAGGAGGGTTGGTCTCAGTGAGGCCATCTGATCAACGGCAAAAAATTGATTCTTGAAATTGGTGTTGCTCTGGTTGGCGAGGTTGATTGTAGTGAGGCATATCTTGGGGTGGCATGATACCATTGGCATAGTTGCCCCATTTGATCTTCCCATAGGGATGGGCATAGCCGCCCCGCTTGAGAGAATTGATTGCACTGAATCGCCCCTTCAAGTGGCATAGTTGCCTCGTCCGAGGCAATTGAGTGGATTTAGGTATATATTGGGATGGCATAGCCGCCCCACCACCTTAGGCTCCATATCTCTTCCATATATGCTCGCTCGTCTCCTATCGTCTAGCACCAACTCCAATATCGATAGTAAACAGTTAAAGGCATCATTGGCTAAGGGAGAGGTCGAAGGGAGGGAATATGCATATGGTGAACTAGGTGTGATAATGAGGCATATCTTGGGATGGCTTAGCCGCCACACCTGTTCGCTAAGTGTTTGAGGATGTTCACTCGTCTCCTATCGTCTATCACCAATTCCTATATTGTGTCCTTCCTTCGTGACCTATTAAGTGGTTATGTAGAGAATGTCGATAGTAAACAGTTGAAGGCATCATTGGCTAAGGGAGAGGTAAGGAGGGAGGGAATATGCATATGGTGAACTAGGTGTGATAATGAGGCATATCTTGGGATGGCTTAGCCGCCACACCTGTTCGCTAAGTGTTTGAGGATGTTCACTCGTCTCCTATCGTCTATCACCAATTCCTATATTGTGTCCTTCCTTCGTGACCTATTAAGTGGTTATGTAGAGAATGTCGATAGTAAACAGTTGAAGGCATCATTGGCTAAGGGAGAGGTAAGGAGGGAGGGGAATATGCATATGGTCAACTAGGGGTGATAATGAGGCATATCTTGGGATGGCTTAGCCGCCACACCTGTTCGCTAAGTGTTTGAGGATGTTCACTCGTCTCCTATCGTCTATCACCAATTCCTATATTGTCTCCTTCCTTCGTGACCTATTAAGTGGTTATGTAGAGAATGTCGATAGTAAACAGTTGAAGGCATCATTGGCTAAGGGAGAGGTAAGGAGGGAGGGGAATATGCATATGGTCAACTAGGGGTGATAATGAGGCATGCCTTGGGATGGCATAGCTGCCTCATTTGCTAAAATATATTTTACTAAGGCATATCTCGGGATGGCATAGCCGCCCCACTTTGTAAAATTGGTCTTACTTCGTCATATCTCGGGATGGCATAGCCGCCCCACTTGGTAAAATTGGTCTTACTAATTCATATCTCGAGATGGCATAGCCGCCCCACTTGGTAAAATTGGTCTTACTTTGTCATATCTCGGGATGGCATAGCCGCCCCACTTGGTAAAATTGGTCTTACTAATTCATATCTCGGGATGGCATAGCCGCCCCACTTGGTAAAATTGGACTTACTAATTCATATCTCGAGATGGCATAGCCGCCCCACTTTCTGAATGAGGAAATTCTTACACATATTCCAACACTGCCGAAAACAATCGAACTTGATGGTTTTTATATTTCCCTACCCAATTTCAGCTCAACAGAGAATCATATAAGAATGTTAACTGATGATGAATATATTGGACTGAATCAGAGATAAGGAAATCAGAAGTGAATATACACCACCACCACCACATATATATACACCACCACATATATGCACGACCACATATATACACCACCACATATGTCCACTACCACATTTATGCACCACCACATATATGCACGACCACATATATACACCACCACATATATGCACGACCACATATATGCTCGACCACATATATGCACGACCACATATATACACCACCACATATGTCCACCACCACATATGTCCACCACCACATATATGCACGACCACAGATATACACCACCACATATGTCCACCACCACATATATGCACGGCCACACATATGCACGGCCACACATATGCACGACCACATATATGCACGACCACATATATATACACCAAATATATGCACCACCACATATATGCACGGCCACATATATACAGCACCACATATATGCACCTTCTGGTCGATTTCCGTACATCCATGTGTATGTTTGTGTCTAGTAATTAGTGAGTAAACTTCCTCGAACCGAGCTGAGGAAATCAACACACATACTCCAACACTGCCGAGAATACGTTTTTTATCGTTTTTTCTACTAGCGACGTTAGCAAGAATATAGGAAATAGATGAACTCTCATATCACGAAAATGTTGGGAGGTACCTTACATTAATACTACTTTTGATACTGGTTGAGTTCTGACTTCCTATGTTCAGGTATCGTTGTTCGACTTGAAATTAAAAGAAGATATATTCGACTTCCTTTCGTTGCCTATTACTGTGGCTATAGGTGAGACACTGTCGCGAATTTCCGGAGAAGATTTCACGTTTCACAGTGGGAAGTGTTTTAAGGGAATGTATTTTCTGTAGACGAGTTGCTTCGGATCTCTCTGAAAATTCTAAACGTGATAAATATACCTTCTCGTTGAGATAAGTTAGTATAATTCAGGTTATGTTCGAGTACTGGGCATCTCAATACCGTGGAGGTCTCTAGCAAGCGAGCCTATCGTAGTGGCTATTGAGGACGTCATCATTGTGCTTAAAACAGAGTCGGCCGCTGAATGGGATGAACAGAGGGAGATTCAATTAAAGGAAGAGTGAGAATCGGTTAAATGATGGAGTTTCAGCCGTGGTATGAAAAACACGTTTCCCATCGCGAAAAGTGGGTAAAACTCCAATATTATGTGAGTTTTGTCAGTGCTGGTATTATGTCAATCATATTAATATTAACGATTTTGTTAGCGTCGAATGAGCAATGTTGGAGGAATATATTTTTGTTCTCCTCAGTTCAGCTCAGGAGTTTCCATAGCTAATCATATACGAATTCGGGTAGAAGTGTTGAAAAACAAGCAAAAATTTTTTCCATAATTTTCTCAGAATTTTCATATTGTCTCGCCCTTCGGAATCATTCGTAGTCGCTGGTTTGACTTGAGTAGTATTATTGGAGTTTCTTCACCCTAGTGATATGAAAGACATATTTTACGACTACTACAGGCCGCGAATATCGCCTAGTTTTTCACCGAGTTTTACGACGCCACTTCACGTTAAACTCGGGTGATCGTGAAACTCCATTGTTGAAGTTTAGATATAAAAGGAAGTCGCTTGAAGTTCATGATTTCATTAACCTTTCGCAGCAACACGACAAGCCCAAGTCCCTTATGTGGAGAATATCAGCGAGTTTATTGGCGAATTTAGAGGTGACCTTCCGAGCACTGCTGGGGAGGGGTGTATACACGCAGTCAATCATTTCATGTGTTGGTAAAAATGTGGAAATTTCGGGAAATTATCACTGGGTTTTGTATACTTCTAGCGAAATTTTCATAATTAGTGAGGAAACTTACGAGCTCAGTTGAGGAAAGCAAAGATATATTCCTCCAACAGTGAACGAGTAACATTTTTTGATTGGTATTGTCGCGTGGAAACATATATTCTCACAATTTTCCCGAACTCTACTTTTTATTATCTAGTGTGTTTTAAATTGATTTGGAAATGTGATATGTGTTCGGAAATCGATCAGATGATCGATTTTGAAAATATAATTTATGAAATTTTCGGAAATTTTTTATCAGTTTAGACTAACCATTTTGATCAGGTGAAAATAAAGAATGTCCATCTTGTTTTGGAGGATACTCACAGTTGTGGAAGTAGCAGGAAAGTCGTCTTTGGAGCGCAGGTGAGATCACATCGGAATAGTCGAACGTTTTAACCCGTGTAAAAACGCTGATGAAAAAGGTCGAAATGTGAGCTGATGCCAAATGACTTCGCGAAGTATCCAAAATGAAATATGGCATATCTTGAAAAGTGTTCCCACTAATCGGCGATTTATCGTGTAGTTCTACATAATATGATTTCTCCGCTGTTTTAACTCGTGTAAAAACGCTGCGGAGGAACTCAGTCCATATTGTAATCGGTGAAATTTTTGACAATTTTCGCCCCGCGAAAATCGTTGGTGATGTTTAAGAAGTTCTGGGAAATTTTGTATACTTTTACCGTAAATTTGGAAATTCCCGATCTCAGCTGAGGAAAGCGAACAACATATATATTCGTCGAACAGTGCGTTTTGTGACTCAGGTGAAGCATGCAAGTTTATCATCGTCTCATACCAACTTTTCGTCACATCCCACCGTCACTGGCAATCAAAACGTGTCTTGTAAAGTTGCTGAAGTACAGCAGTTTGGCATGTAAGGCGGAAAAAATCTTTTATTTTTTCGCATTTTTTTTCGTGGAGAATTTTCCGTTTTCTCCCGGTGGTATTCATTTTCCTGTGTTCTCACCTTTTTTCATATTGTTGGAGTTTCATCCGTTTAACGTGAAGTGGTGTGATATTCCATGCAAATTTACAACGTGTATGTTTCCGCGACCGATAATATAATTGTTCTCCGCGAAGTGAATTGTGAGATTTGTTTTTCACTTGTGTTTTTCATCAATTTTTCACATCAGGGTGAAACTCCATTAAATTTGGTACGTGGAGGCTCACCCTAGTAATATAAAAACATATTTCACGACTACTGAATAGCGCTAATATCGCCGCGATTTTCACCGAGTTTTACGACGCCGCTTCACGTAAAACGGGTGATCGTGAAACTCCATTGTCAATAATTAATATTACAACTTAATTTTTCCCGTTTGTATTTGTTTTACTTGGTGTTTTTTTATTCTTGTATTTTGTTCGCTCACTTTTCACTGTAGATCTTTGAAATTTCTCCCCGGTTTTTTCCTCAATTTTTTCGTTCGTGTAAATTTTATCTCCTCCAAATCTATAGTGTGTTTCTGTTTTTCCCGTTGGTGCCTATAACAGTCCTGAGATCAGATATTTGGACTCCTGCCCTATAGAACCTGAGTCATCACCATTTCCGGTGTCACCGGATGAGCACCACAAGAAGGCTTTTGAATGTGAGAGAATATTAGTGGAGTTTCACGCGTTTTACGGGTCGAGTGAAAAACGCGATGTTCGCGGTGATATGCAGTAGTC